ATCGAGTCTGGGAAGTTTTCACGTTCACTTTCATCCTAGGCAGAAGCAGTGATTGGGTTTCATCAAGCCTAGGATCATCGTCAAATGGACGATGGGTTAAGTACAAAAAATTATGACTGCAAGAAACATCTCAAACATGCGTGTATTTTTTTCAAAGAAAAACGAGTATGTAACCTGGCAATATTTTTACAATTAAAATAATTAACCAAAGTTCCTCATAAGATTAGATGGTGACACAGGAAAAATATATAGAAAGAATCAGGGAGAATGAAACGGGGCTATTGATCTATAATAGTTAATAATCACTAGATGAAAATTTTTGTGCATTTTGATACAAAATATTCCCAATGGAAAGGAGCACCCGACAGACAGACAAGCCTACGAATGAGGGTGACAATGATGCATTATTATTTTTAAATTATTTAATTTCAACTGACCTTTTGGAAAGGACTTGTAAGGGACCATTTTCTAAAACCATTTATATTCAGAACTAATGACATAGTCACTAAAAATAGGTAAATAAAAATTTGTATACTTAAAATATTGTAGAGATAAAAATGTTATAAGATTATTCAATTTTTTAATTAATTATCAGTTTTAGCTTTTCATTATTTCAATAAAATAAAGTACAATACATTTTTTTTTTACTTTCACTTTGATAATTAAGTTAGTGTTATTGAATATTATACTATAAAAAGTGATTATTCATTTAAACATTTAGAAAATCAACTATTACTTTAAATAATTTATAATTCAACAGAAAAATTAGGCTGGTACAGTTAAAAAAGAAAGGTATTGCAAATTTAAAATAAGAAACATTTATCAACCATAAAATTATATATTATATACTTTATTAATTATGAAATTTATTATTTTAAAAAGATTATGTTTCAAAATAATTTTTTTTATGTTTTAATTCATATTAGGAATTTGGTGCAAAAGAATAATAATAATAACTCGTAAAATTATGTTTTTCAAAGCACAAAAAATCTGATAAACAGTTTAAACATCAATAGTTTATATTTTTAAGTTCTTAATAATATAATAATTTCTAATAAAATATTTAAAGCATAAATGAAGAAGAAGTATCTTCATTTATGTTTGCAATAGCAACGCGCTTTCAATCATAAAAAAATTATCGCGCGTAAGTGTTTCGGCATTATCAAATATTACATTACACAAGTTGAATGTATGCTGCCAAACAAAATGATGTAGCAATCTCAAATTGCACGCGATAGAGTCAGACCCAGTAAGTCACCCTGTGACGGGTTCAGAAAAAATTTTCCTACACAAAGAACAGAACCCATCATCAAATCTCAAATTATGTTTATGGTAAACACATTTCGGGTGGATTTACTTATTCTTTATTACATAAAGTTTATTCAATACGCACCTTTTTATTTCGTTAAACAAGTTATATTTTACCATAGTTGTTTTAATTGTTTACATATATTGATAGTTTGGTCCAAAATTACAAAAAAAATCACTTGCAATGACTATGTTTCTCAAATTAAAAATAATTGTTTAAGCTGTTCAAACACCAAAAGTTTGTATTTTTTAGTTTTGTTTTGTAAAATGAAAAAATAATAAAAGAATGATTTTTAGGCAGATATAGCTATCTTACTTAGTTTACTTATCTTACTTACACTCTTATACTCTTATCTTATTTACAAAAAAAGAAAAAAGAAATTTATAAGTATATACAAGCATGGAACAATACTGTCTGTCGGAGGTTGTTGCTTGTATCATAAAAAAAACAATATGGCAATTTAAAAAATATGTAAAGAAAAGTAACAAAGAAAAAATCAACAAAAAATAAATAATTAATTAAAACAGCTAGTAGGTATATAAAAAAACGAAGTAAATAAATAACAAAAACAGAAAAATACAAAGGTGAGAGGTGATTTTGTAGAGCCAACCAGAGATGTAATGTGTCGTATCAGTATTGATAATTAAGTGTGTGGTGATTAGTGACCGTTAGTCAATAATTAATCAGAAATCGTGAGATGTGGTCTGGTGTGATGGAGGTTTCAGAAAAACATTTTCTTTATCGTGCCAAAATTTCGATCTTCGATTTAACAAAAACATGTAGGATGTGGAAAAAAGTGAATTTATACGATGCAAAACAATATTTTTTTGCGTTGTATAAATTCACTTTTTTCCACATCCTGCATGTGTTTGTTAAATTTAAACAATGTTTGTAAATCCCATGCCCTGATGACGATCTCAATAAAGATCGAAACGTTGGCACGATAAAGGAAATGTTTTTCCGAAACCTACATCACACCCAGACCGTATCTCACGATTTCCGAATAATTATTTAGGAGAGTAACTAGGAGATAAAACAAAATTCCCCAAATTAAACTGACGTAACTCCTCTAGTATTGTGCATTCCACTAGAAAATGCAAAGCGGTTTTCATTTTTATGAATTCAAATATTTAAGTTTTTACAATAACGAAACGTTTTCAACCATAAACAATTAATACCAATGAGCCTAAGTGTTACAGCATTACCACATATTTATATTAAGTAGAAAGTTGCTGCCAAAAAAAAAGTACAGCAAACTCAAATTATGTGTACAATAAACCCATTTCATTCGAATTTACTCCTTATTACTTAACTGTACTGTATTAAACATGATTTTTTTTGTTTTAACATGTTATGTTTAAAAATAGGTTTTAATTGTTTACATAAATTCATAGTTTGGTGCAAGAGTAAAAAGCAGTAAGTTATATTAACTTTTTTTTCAATTAAAAAAGTCCGTAAAAGCTGTTTAAACATCAAAATTTTATAGTTTTTAAGTTTTTAAATCAATTTGTATAATAATAAAAAATTAAAAACATAAAAGAAGAATGAGTATGGAAGTAAAATATTTATGTTTGCAGCAAAATGTTTTCTATCATAACAAATTAATACCATAGTGCCTAAGTGTTAAGAATTATCAAATATTTATATTATTTAAGCCGAAAGTATGCAGCCATGCAAAAACATGTAGCAATTTCAAATTATGTTTGTGGTAAACATATTTGGTGTGATTTTTCTTCTTCTGTAAAATTATTTTTTAAAAAGTAACAAAATTATTAGAATAAAATTGTAATTGTTTTGTTTAATTTGAATTAGGTGCTGGAAGCATATTAGAAAAACTTATAAAAATAAAATTTACCATTTTCTATTTGCTCTGTCTCCGTGTTTATTTATTTTAATTTACCGAAATGCTATTACTACTATTAAGCCTGGACTAATCCGACAATCTAGGTGGAGGTGTAATTTAACACACAAATAAAACCAAAATTAAAATATAAAAATAAATTTAAATAATAAGAACTTAGTTGAAAAATAATAAAAGATAAAAAGTTATTAATGCAATGTTGGGCTCGGACGGGGTAAGGCATGCCGGGCTATAAAGAAGGCAACAGCTTGCACGAAAAATGAAGAAAAAACAAAACATGATGCGAAGAAGGAAGACATGAACCAAAATTCGAAACAACAATACGAAAATCACAAACCAGGGTACCTAAAACACACTCCCAAAAAGGTAAAAAATCTACCACAACCCCTGTGCACAAGATACACTGGCCGTCCTTTCCATGTAGGGTTAATAAAAAAAAATTCACCTCGTAAATATATTATATGTATCTCAACTAAGGCATACATAAAAACGGTTAGATGAGAATAGAGAGAAAGAGAACATAAAAACATAAATTATCCCCGGCTAGCTGCCTTTAGCTAATAGAGTTAATGTTAATTTACCATAATGCTACTATACAGCTTGGACTTACAACAGTCTAGGTGGAGGTGTAATTGAACAAACAAAATCAAAACTAAAATAAATTTAAATAAATAATAAAAACTGAGGGAGAAAATAATATAGAGAAAAAGTTATTAATATAAAGTACTTTGTGCTCGGAGAGACCAGGCATGCCGGACGTTGCTAAGAAGGATTACCTTTCGTCGTAAGTATTAGTAAGTAGTAATAATATGTCGTAAACCATCCAACGGAGAGTTGTATTTGTGAGAGAGTTTGATCCAGCATTCGAACCAAAAAGTAATTTTCTTTATGCTTGCTAGATCTGTGTAATCGGAAGGAAGGCAAATTTAACTCTTTGAAGCATTAATTAAAGTTCAGTTTTTAAAGTATGCAAGTAAAGTATTTCTACCTACGTTGTTTGTTACAAATATTTCTACTTCGGTCAGCCTAATTTCATTTTGTTCTCCTTGAAGGCGGTTAAATCTTCATCGAACCAGACCAGTAGATAAAACTTGACGAGACATCACAAAACGAATTCATCTGTCCCAAAGAGTATTTTTTTTTTTATTTGCAGTTATTTCAAACAGTGGTTCAAAACATAACTGAAAATCGGATTAAAAAAAGTTTCTTAAAACATGATTCTTATCACTTGGCGCGTTAAAATCACCCACGCCACGCCACTGAAATCACCTAAATTTGTAATTTATTATAAATATTAACAATATATTAATACAAAATTAAGCTTTACTATTTGTTTATCAAAAATAAGAAACTTTTATACATCACTATTTTTAAATAATTTTTCTGTTAGCCCCAGTAAAAGTTGAATTTTTTTATAGAAGAATTTTTGCTAGAAAATTTGCACATTCAACAGACACTTTATAGTGGCTTATTATATTTCAACCCTGGGCCCTCTAGTATATCATTGTAAATAACATAATTTCTGCTTTTGCAATTTGTATGCAGCTGTGAAATAACTAAATGAAAAAAGGTATCTTCATTAGATGGACTAGTATATCAACAGACTATAGCAAATGCTTCAACATTCTTATTATTACTTCACGTACCTTCACAATATATTTGTCTGAAACTGTAGTTATAATTTATTTTCTGCTAATTAATCCAAAAAATGAGCCAAAATCTAGATGAATACGACCAATGAAATATCTTCTTAACACTGGGTTCAAATCACCGAGAGTCTAGCAGTTTTCCACGCATCCCCCTCAACCCTAATCCAAGTTGGTTCCTTACCAGTAAAAAGACGAAGGTTGCTGTCCTCATTGTTAAACGGATGTCCGAACGAGAATGAAACCGTCCAACCCTACCCAGTAGATTTATATTCGGCTCGGCTGAACCCAGGGTGGGGCGGTGGACTTTCCCCGAATGGGTGCACCACCCGGAGTGTTCCAGGAGAAATGGTCTTCCTTGTATTATTGCTTCAAGAAAAACGAGCGACGCGCGAGTACCAATTTTCCTATTTTTCCTACTGGGGAAAAAATATGCTCAAGAAAACAGCAAACTGTCAGGGCAAAAACAATTCATTATTGAAAGTGATATTTTCAGCTATTAAATAGCCGACTATACCAAAAAATCTCTTCTACCTCAAAAAAAAGTTAATCTTTTGTGTTTTTTTTTTCTTTCTATATGTGTTCGTACATTTATCGTAATAATAAATAATCTCTTCTCTCCCTCTCTCTCTCTCTCTTTCTTTATTTCTCTTTCTCTTTCCCTCTCTCTCTCCATCTTTCTCTATCTCTTTCTCTTTCCCTCTCCCTCAATATCCTCTCTCTCTCTCTCTCTCTCTCTCTCTCTCTCTCTCTCTCTCTCTCTCTCNTTTCTGGCGGAATTTCTTTGAACCTATAACGCTATCAAAAAACAAAAAATACGGGTTTAATATTTTTTAGCCCATTTTTCAAATTTTTACCTTTTTTAAGAAAATAAGTACCGGGGCCCAGTTCAACTTCAAAATTTGAAATACGACCCTATAAATAGGTAAGGTCAGGATGTATCTGAATATTTTAATGGATTTCTTACGCTGAAAATAGTGGTGCAATCGGATTTTAAATTGACAAAAAAATTTCAAAGTTGTGGCAAAAATTTTGAGATAAAGAACAGACATTTGGTTTGCTGTTTATTAATCCCATTTCATGTTTGAAATATCTGCCGTGCGTAAAGATGCGAAGATTTGCGCTTTTTAACCCCTCTTCACCCACCGATGCTCAGATGGTACAGTCAGGAGAGATGGATTAACAAGCATTTTCTATCCTTTGCCGCTATCAACTGAGGTTGCTTGTTTCTCATTGACGTGGACACTTTTTTTTTCGAGACTAGATTGGGCCATGAGGTCCTGTCCACCTATCCTGGAAGTGATGGTTCAAATAACATCTCACCTGCAAAGGATTGTGTGCACATCAAGCTGGAAAATCATTCTTTGTCTTGGCTACATAGGAACATCACCGAACAGTGTTGGTAAAGACTTTTTCAAAATATTGAGTAACTGAGCACCATTTAAATTATTTTCATAGAAATAAGGCCCGATTAAATTGTTTCTGAGAAGTCCACGTTGATACTGTGAACGACCTGATGATGACAAGAGTACGAAATGCTCGGATTTTACCCTGCCCACATTCGAAAATTTAAACGGTTTAGTATGCCATTAGAGGTGAACTTGGATTCATCAGTCCAAAGGATGTATGGAAGATCGTTTTCTTTAGCCTTCCAAATCCAAATTTGTGCAAAGAACGTTAGACGACTGTCATAATCAGAGTCACGAAGCCCCTAGACATGATGAGGGCGATACGGCTTACAATTGTAAGTCCGGAGTACATCTCTAATTTTATTTTTTGAAAAACTTAAAACCTTTCAACATTTCCGAGAGAGGAATTCGGATTTTCTCTACCGTACAGTAAAATATTCAGCTCCTCGTCGAATTACTCTGCCGGTTTCTTGGTGATGGAATAGCAACTGTATGTCCTAATATTGCGAGCAACACGAATAAACATTTTATGGTTGAAACGGAAATTTCTGGGAGTAAACTCGACTGCACGACGCGCAGTACCACCACTATCAATAAATCAGTCGTACATATTAACTGGCTATTGAACAGTAAAATGTGCTGTTGTTCGGTTCATTTTGAATGGAATACTGAATGTAAGGAATAGGTAATATTGTAAAATTTATTTACTTCCAGGAATTAAAATTTGCTCTCATAGTGCGAGTTTGACAATGACAGAATGTAAACAATATAGGCAATTAAGATTTACTTTAGTGAATAAGCAAATTATTGTAATTAACAACGAAACAAACGAAATGCGTTTTTTCAAACTTTTTGCCACAATTTGTCATTTTTTAGCAAATTTTAAATCCAATTGTACCATTGTTTTCAGCGTAAAAAAAGCCTTTTCTCAGAATGTATTTGAAATTTTGAAGTTGAACTGGGCCTGACGTACCCTGTATAATTTTTACTCAAAGCTAGTCTAAAAAATATTTTTGTTGTTTTTGATAGGTTCATTGGTTCAAGAGAAATTCAGCCGGGCCATCCAAAAAGGACTCCAACTGTATATAATCCGAGTTCAATAATAATGCCATTAAATGAATCTTATTTAAATTTCGAAAAAATTATGTACATTAAAATTATATTTTTATTATAATACATTTATTATAAACTTATATTTTTATTAATGTATTTTCAGGGAGAAAATCTTTTTCCGGCGATGTAAACCTCATAATATTTATAATCCGAGTTCAAAAATTTTAGAAGATAAGAATGCCATTAAATGGGTCTTATTTAAATTTTGAAAAAATGTATATTAAATTTATATTTTTATTGATTAGAAAAATGTGCTGTTCGGTTCATTTTGAATGGAATACTGAATGTAATGAATAGGTACTATTGCAAAATTTATTTACTTCCAGGAATTAAAATTTGCTCTCATAGTGACAGAATGTAAACAATATAGGCAATTAATATGTTCTTTAGTGAATAAGCAAATTATTGCAATTAACGGAACAAACGAAATGCGTTTTTCATATTTTTGACCAAAACTTTGTAATTTTTTGACCAATTTAAAATTCAATGCACCAGTGATTTCAACGTACAAAATCAGTTAAAATGATGTCAGGTAGTATAGGGTCGTATTTGAAATTTTGAAGTTGCACTGTATAATTTTTCTCCAAAAAAAGTAAAAATTTCAAACTAGTCGAAACATATTAAACAAGTACTTTTTGATAGTGTCATTGGTTCAAGAGAAATTCAGGCGGGACATCTAAAAATGACACCCTGTATATATATTTTTTTTTCTATCTATAGTCTGTGTATATTCTATCCTTGCTACCTATCTATATGTTTATCAATTTACATGTCTAACTATCTACTAATTTATGTATATATCTCTTTATCTATTATTGGGTTGTCCGGAAAATAATGCAGGATTTTGGTATTAAACAAAAAAAAAGAAACTAGTTACTTTAAAGCAATGTTCTTTAATCAATATAATTTCCCATACTCTCAATACATTTCTCCCAACGTGTTGGTAACTTATTAATTCCGTCTGAGTAGAATTCAGAATTTTTAGAATTGATAAAGTCNGAAAACTTAAAATCCTGCATTATTTTCCGGACAACCCAATAATATTAAAATGTACACATATTTCATTCACTCATTCTATTTTATTCTTTCTCAAGTTGATGTAGATTTCTATCTTTCTCTCTGTTCATACACGGATATAAATATGAATTATAATATCATATTGTCCCTGTACATGGGGTGAAAATAAATTGTTCCAATTTATTGCCACATTTATGTGTCCACATTAAACAGATTTAAACGAATATAATTCGCACAAGGTACTAAAATGACTCTTTTTTGTGCCGATGTTTTTGAAAAAAGCCCATTTGTAATGCAGGGCTGCTGGATTCGAACCCGAGACCTTTACCTTACAGTGATGAGCGCCTAAACCGTTGCGGCCACCGACGCCCCCCAGATGTACCTACTGTTCGATTTTCTTGTGGTTCTGGCTGTAGACATTATACTTATTGCTATGACCATACATACACAACATAATTATATTATCTTGCGATCAAACATCTCATAATTCGTTGTTTTTGTAAGTTTAATGGATTAATAATTATGTGTTTTTAGGCCTGGAACATGAATGACAAACTGTTTGTTAACCGGTTCTCCCAGAGACAAATGCTCAACGAGCATTATGCGGATCAGTGGTCAATTCGGACCGTGAAATTTCAAACGAAGAGGACAACAGCGGGAATGGACGGACCAACGATCAGTGTTTTTAAACGGCAGTTCGCTGAGTCCGAAGAATTGCACAATGCCTGAGAACCTTCCGGTGAAAGAGCATTTCAGTTTTCTTGATTATTACGTCCGTATTAATAACTGAATAATCGCTAAACTGCATTGGTTTCCACATAATTATGATTTGAATTTAGAAGTGTGGTCGGACGTGAGGAAGAAAGAGAAATGAACTTTTACCACGGGATAAAACATGAGAAAATCTTTTTCCCATGGCACTTACATGTACGACTAGATGAAAAAGGGCCTAAAATCTATAGTAATGGATATGATGATCATAGTTGTGAAAGAGGATTTGAGTGTAATTGACTGTTAAGTTTTTAACATGCCTCGCTGGACTGATTATGGCCTGATTTTCGCCCAGTGTGAGCAGATTGCTGAAGTATTATTTATCTTGATATAGAAAAAAGAAAAACACAGTTTAAAAGTAGGGGTAAAACTTAAACACTGATAGAATATTGAAATCTTGTTGGATTTTTATTTCAAAAGTTCTACTGAATCAATGTACAAATGTAAAAAAATTAATGTTTTTCCTCTTGGTTTTTAGCTTTTGAAGTTTCACCATTGTCGGCAAGCCCAGGCCGTTTGGTCCCTTTAGAACCATCTCTGAAAAACTATCTCTGAAATGTGAAACACCTCTCACCGTGTAATCTCGTTTATTTGATCTTCTAGACAGAAGTGCCCTGAGATTAGAGTGAAATGGCCAGCCGGAAATCGAAAAGGATGTAATTTTCCGTGTTACAAGTCAAAGGTGAGTCGGAACGTGATAAATAATAATTTAAACTAGTATTTCTATAATGTCTTATCAAATATTGGTCAATCTGCTGATGATGGCGTGAACCAGAAAAACGACTCTCGAAGTATCGGTGATGATAGAATGATAAGTCAACTAGCACGAAAAATAATTTTGGACAATACTATTTGAGAAAGTTTCTGTCGGACCAAAACTTATTCTTCAAGTTTTTCTTTAAGCTTGTAAGCTACATCATTATTAG